TTTTTTGTTATTCCTTTCCCCTCAATTAGCACCTGTATCACGGCACACACTTTAAGCCCAAGTGAAAAAAAAAATACCCCCCCCCCCCCGGTTAAGTCCCCAAAACACCTCGACCAATGCGACCGGTGTGAATGAACTTTGTTGACCTCGACAGCCAACGGTCCCCGACACACACACTACTCACACGTACGAGGTCAGGTCACGTGATGCGAATGAGCGTTTGAAAGTTTCACTGACATGTTTTGATGATGGGCCCGAATAACCAGCACCCAGACAAAGCTTGCTTTTATTACTTTTAAAGCAACGGCTGAACAACGAATAGCTTATTTTTAGGCTCATGTCATAATTGTTACAGTAATCAAGACACCATCGGAGAATTCTGAGTTTTAAAAGCGAAAGTAGATCTTGAGCGTATCCAAGTCAGAATTCAAAATTGATACTACGTCGATTTTAGTTGAAATACCGTGGGTGAGTCTACTAGATTCAGTATAGATGCTTTAGAAAATAGCGTTCCAAGTTCCTGCCGATAAAAAATCCAATCGGTGCTTCCAAGCAAAAGAGACTGCAAAACTTTTTATATTTTTTTAATAAGAATCGGATGCAACAGATGCAACGAAAAAAATCAGGATACTGGCGATCGAAATCGGGAAAATCGGGATGCTTGAGATTTGGGGCAAAAAATCGGGATATCCCGATTAAATCGGGATGAGTATCGGGATGAGTGGCAGGTCTGCTAAAATAGACAGAAAGAAAAATTGGAAATTTATTTTGAGTCAGTTTACCCTTGTTTTGGAATAAACTGTGTTTGGTTCCTGTGGACACCATTGTACATCTGATCTGTTCCACCCAAGGTGAGAGGTAATAGCATCATAACTTGCATCATGAAAAAGAAACTGGAGTTTTCCTTATCAGGGTTTTTTGTTTTTTTTGGTTTTAATTAGAGTTTTACATTTACAGCACTTGCAATACAATTAATTCACGAAGGTGCCGATATCAGGGTATAACAGAGAGAAAAGGATGAAATTTCTGAAAGTTATCATAAAGAAGCTTCATGTCTTCACCGTGCGTACAAAATTTGGTGTAAATCCTGTGAGGAGAAAGGTCTCTTCCATAGCATGTTGAACTTGTCATTAGCATACCAAAACAACGACAGACGAACCTGCTCTAACCGCCAGCTGCATAAGACAATCACCTTTACAAACAACAACTTCCCACCATTTCCTTCCTTTCTTTCTTTCAACATTATAATGACACTGCGTAAGACGTCAACTTGTCTAAGACTGACACTTTTGTGGCCATTTAAAAAAATTTTGACTGTATATTCCAACATTGACAAGACCATAAGGAATTACATATTGTTATGCCCAAAAGGCTACTATAACAAATTCAGAAATTGAAAGCCCACTGTTACATTACCATAAGGACGTCAGTGATCTTGTCGATGAGTCGGAACAAATTGTGCTGGTGTTTGGAGAACTGGACGAGCTTGAGACATTCTGAAACGTGAACACAATCATAAAGAACGAAAGATAAGTTTATATTTAAATCACTGAAACTGAACAAAGCAATTTAATGCTTATAGACAAAATAACCTGCAAAGTAAAGTGTTATAACATTGGTGAAATTAAGCTAAGAACTAACAATTCTTACTGGACAAATTAACAAATTCTTACTGGTCGAATTTAACATCTCTAACAGCACTGCTTTGCAGTTTTCAAATATCCCACCCATACAGCACCGGCATCTGGGGTGTAGCGGTTAGGAGCTTTGCTGTCGCACGCAGGAGAACTGAGTACAATTCCCGAGTTGGGAGAATTTTCATAAAGTGTCTCAGCCTTTTTGCTAATAATAAATGAAGAGTGTCTTGTTAAGATGGCTGCATGCACTTACTGAGATTCTATTTAAAGGATTAAACCAAAATATAAATCGTTAGCGAATGTTTGAGGTAAGTAACTGTCACATGGCGCTCACTTGAATATGGGGTTCTGTCCCTTCAACTGACTCAGTACAAACAGAAACCAAAATAAAATCAGAAATGGTTGAACCTAATGGCCACTTGAGTATGAAAATTACTTATATAGACGACTACTACCCTTTTCCTCCCTTGTATATTTTTCACACTATGATGATACTGTGTCAAATGGCCACCTGGCAAATATGGCCACTTTTCCCCTCAACTGTGGGTGGCCGTTTTAGACAGTTTCCACTGTCCTTGAGAGCTTTGTACACTAGTGAACTCACATGCAATGTCAGCGCCTTGTATAGTGTAAATTGACAATCTGGTGTGGTTCCCCCATTTACATGAGCGTAAAAAGAAAGCTGCTGTCTCACATTGTCTCTTCTTCATGCCTGTGAGTTACAAATTTCCCCATTTCTCTTTCCACAAAATGTGTTAACTCATGTTTTTCAGATGCACATGTTCCTTAAATGCTTTTCTCCCTTTAAATGATCTCTATAAATGTGCGATCAATATCTTGGAATGTAAGCACTTGCTGAGCATTCTGCAGTTTAAAAATATTTTTTTATCTCATATACAGTGGAGTCCGCTCACTAAGAAAGAAAGAACATTTTTCAACAAAATGATTGTCTGTCAATTCCTACTGTTCCGCCTGATCTAACTTGAGGACTGAACTGTTGGTACGAGTCAGATATTATTTTCCCATTTGGATTATATCACAATTTGGCACTTATCAGAGTTGAAGCTCCACTGCGCAGAACATCTACCACAGAATCAGGGCTGGTTTCTTGCAGTCGTATGGCTTCATTCTCAAGCTGCTCTTCCAGTTGAGATATATTAACACGTTCCTGAAACAAAAGGGAGTTATCCTTTTTAGTTAAAAAAAGAAGTTGCTGAACAATGCATCATAAAAGAAACAATTTGTTCCAAATCATGTGAAAACTAGGTCTACTTTAAAAAAAACGAAAGTTTGGGCGTGTGGTTGGGGGGTGCTCTGATGTGATTTGTTCCTGTTATTCATCTATTGTCCTGATTTCTCCTCCATCTTTTCTTTGAATATTACTCTCTTATTTTGAGAGCATCCGAGCAAAGGAATGAATGGAGAACCATGATAGCCGATGTCTGTCGCAGATCTGGCACTGGATGATGATGATGATGATAACCACCTCTAATCTTTGGCACTTAGGCCTATAAGACTTATAGGCTTATACAACTTATTTTTATTGCCATAAAACTTTTACTAAAACTAAACCTTATTTTTAAAACCCCATTTCTGGCATAAAGTGAAAACTCTCTCACAGACAGGTATAAAAAATTACTTCCGTCATCTTCATTATTCAAAGTCTATTACAACTTTAAGACAAAAAGAGATTTTTAAAACTCAAACCATTTACTTCAGCTGACACCTAAGATTCCAGCAAGATGACATTCAACATTGAGAGATGTTGTTTGTCATCTTCTCAAAAGGAAAATGTAATGTTGTAATTGCTATTATTATTGTACGGGATAGAGCACTATAAATTTCATATATTATACTATTATTATCAGTGGTAATTTTTTTTTTCTTTTTAGGTTCTTTAGTACATTTTTATTCTGTTCAATTTTCTTAAACTATTTATCGCATATATAATTTTTTTTAAATATAATATAATACATATTACATCTGTCACTGCCTATATCCCTGTGTACATGTACCCCCCCCCCCCCCCTTCATATTCTTTAATCATATCTATGTACCATTTTATGTGCCCTTGTGCATGAATGTTGCATGTATTTTTATGCTATTGTGGGCTACTAGTAATGCCTTTTGACGTGCATTGAGCATTGCAAATAGAATTAAATTACAGAAAATTGTTATATAAATGACACATATTATATTATTATTATTAAATTATTTGGCAAGAAAAACACATTTGCTTGCAAATTGAAACCGTACATGATGAATGTGACTTCAAGACAAAATATAAACTCTCTTATGTCCACTTTTAGAAAAAAGATAGCAGATAACAACATTCAGTGTACAAAAAGTAGAGGATTAAATTGTAATATTTACGCATGAAATATCTTGAGATCCCATTGTGATACGTTCCTTGTAATTTGATCAGATCCGTTCTTTCAAATCATTCTGCGGAAACTGGGGGGAAAAGATTAATATAAATTAGCAAACTTTTATGATAACATTCTCAGAATAGAGCATAACATAGATAGCTCGAATTCGTCAGGACTGTCTTCGGTAGTTCAAGGGATCCGTAGTTCGAGGAATATCTTACAAAGATAAATATGAAAGAAAAAACCAGGACCGCAGGCACAGTTCGACAGATGCGTGATTTCGAGCTTTCTGTGTTCGACCTATCATGTTATACTATATATGAGAAACAATATGGAAATACCATTTATGACCTCTTTTTACAGCCTCTGAGAAAACAATGGGCCAAAAGTTCTCATTAATGATACAGGGGCTTATTTCTGAACAAGCGAATGCATGTCTCTCTCTCCCCTTATCAACATCACATGGTCAACAGACACATCAACCAAGCCTGAGTTTAATTTGACCAAGCGGTAGTTTTTAGTCACTGAAAAGGTACCTGTGTCTGTGATGTAGCAGTTAGGTGCTTCGCTGTCACACGCAGGAGACTCGAGTTTGAACCCTGAGTGTGGAAAAATTTTTCTCGAGTGTCTCCGTCTTTCTGCTGGGATGTTGTATCCCTCTTAGCCCAGGTTGGCCCTCACAGGTAGGGTAAGAAGTCTGCCTCCTAAATGATTTAAATTTGTCTATCTGGGTATAAAAATACTCACCATCTCTCATTGCAGAGATTCTCCAGAGTAGGCCTATTCTTCACTATGAATTTGAAGATATGGTCGGGCACGGAAAACTTAAACACGCCAGGGATTGACAAATGTGTTCCACATCATAATTCGGGTAAACAGATAACACGAAAGATTATTTTACAGAGGTACATCATGCTACTGTAATGAAGAAAATCAAGGGAAGTAACAGTGACGGTATAATGGTCGGATAATAAATCATTGTAACGGATTTACTGTGGCAGATTCGCTGCACACAGCTGTTTGCGTGATGTGGTGCATCTTTTTTAACCTATCAAACCATTCTGTGTTGCATGTGAAGTCATGGCAAAATTTCTATTTTTCTTTGATATTTCTACAGCTGCTTTCAAAATCAGAGATAGGAAAAGACACAGCACATGTTTGCTGGAATCACTGAAACGATATCAGCTCTACACAATTTCAAATTTAGCAAAGTGTGCTCCCTTTCTGTTAAGTTGGAGTCTAATACTGGCACTCTTATCTATAGTTTTTAGAAATGTATAAACTGTTGATTTTGTGAAACCAAATCACTTAATAAACTTTCATTTTAGTGTGGGATTTCTTGTCAACCCCTGCTAAAATCTGACACTTAGTTTCTAGTATCGGACAATTTCAGAATATTAATTCTTCTCTTAGCCATCATGAAAATTATCCAATTTTGATAAAAAGATAGAAGGATAGTATGTGCACCTTTTTCGGGGTTGAAACAAAAAAGGGAAGATCTTGAGAGAATTACTGGTGAGCCTAACAACCAAAATAAGATTTCTCTTAGGTCAAATCAAAATCATGATGAGGTAACCAGCAATAATCAGAGATATTGAGTGTACAGAGCATGTGATAGAGTGCGGATATGCGCTGTATACAGGCAATAATATATCATTTATTTTTAATATTATAATTTAGGACGGATAGTGCATGCACGTCTTTTTGATAGTGTCCTCGGTGTCGAAGCAAGAGAAAAGAAGAAGAGAGTGGCCAAAGAGCTATACCATACGAGTTCAATAAAATTTCTTACTCATGTACGTCATATCACAATAATAACAAAATAACCAGCACTAATTGCATGCCACCCATCCTTCTTGTGTAGTAGTCTTTGTAATCACTTCCCAATCCATATCTTCACATTCAAACAATCACACAAACACAAACCAGGCAGCCTAATGCAGCGCCGCACTGTTTGAGTTTGATTTCGTCCCACCACCCAGCACCCTCCCTTACATAAAAAAATTCAAAGAAGTTCCATTAGTGCCTTATAGGGGGTGCCCATTTGCACCATCAATTCAGTTCGGGTCTGTTCCGTTCGGTTTGGTAGGCGGGGCTAGCCAGATTGAGGATGCAAAGCGACCATCATGGCACAAACCGATAATATAACCCTACCCGCAGCTTCAATAACATAAACGTGATTGTTTTCAGGACGCAAATCAGGCCATTGGCCCGGTGATCGGTTTGTCAATCCCTCAATGGGCACTGGGTATAACACACACTACAGGCAATGTGCGGTGATGTGTCTCAATACCAGTAGTGTGTACATCATGCTGTGCCACGGCGAACTTGGTGGGTTCGTGTAACCTGATGCTATCAATGATGACGGGTGTGTTATTTTCGATCATGCACACTGAGCCATCTGAATTCAGGACAATTTAATAAGAAGGAAAAATTTTAATGGGATGTTGGACATATCCATGGGTAAAGAGTCTTGCTATTACAAAGAAGATATTATAATGCGTTCAATCAGGGAATGTTCTATTGCACCTCTACAATTTTAAGTTTTGAGTGCTCATGTTATCTGTGTCTGACTGTATAACTGTCTAGAATCAAAGTTACGGTGGAAAGAGGTCTAAAATTTGAAAAAAAGCATGTGCTAAGAAAAAACAGGTTTTGAGTTTCAATATATGCAGTGGCTACATGTATTTCTTAGAAACGCAGTCTTGGCTGGTACTTTAGCCTCGAGCAAATAGAGTTGTAATTTACATTTTTTAAAAAGCACAACAAAATGTTCAAAATAGAAAATAATCACTCAGTAAAGTTTGAAAACAGGAGAAGATGAAGCGGTACTAAAAAAAGAGTAAAATCAATGGAATGTAAACATTTTCAAAGGCGAAAATTACATGAGGTAGACCCATCTTGTGTCAAAATAAATCAAATCAAAGATTTATAGATTTTATTTCAGTAACCTAATGACTTTTGGAGGCAAACTGACGTATGATATGTTCAGGACCAAAAAAAAATAAAAAAATTTTCAAACTCAACTTTGGATCACTCAAACTCATTTTTTTACTTTTAGTAAGTTTGCTGACAAATTCATTCTCACAGGCGGCAGCACGCACCATTATATTTTATAATAGGCTATAAAGTGGATGCCAAAAGAGAAAATTTTATATGTGTACAGAACTTTCTATAATGCTGTAGTCCCAGAATATCTATATTATCAGGCCCTATACATTTCTTTTCAATAGGCCTATTAACCAGTGTACCTACAAAACAGTAGTGTCCACTTAAACCAAACACACTGTAATCGGAAGCTGAAAACAGCAGTCAACCAAAAGAAATTTTTTTATAATCGGCAATTCGTATTTTTTTTCTATTTGAATAACCTCTCTAAACTGAAAACCCAGCTGAACAGAAGAAAATTCGGGGGTTTCGCAGAATTCGATTTTTAAGCGAACTCCACCATAGAGGTAGATCGGCGCTTTTTTGGTAGTTCCCACCCCTCTTATTTGGGCCTAGATCTAGATCTATAAAATATGTTTGATGCGCGGCGAACGAGAGATATATCATTTATGGTAAAATTCAAGGGGGCATGCCCCCCACCCCCATACATTTTTATTAGGCCTAGGTCAGGCCTCCCTGAAACCCCCCTACTCTGGGAGCCAAAACCGGCAAATAATATTCGGGGGGTGGGAACTAACGAAAAAGCACCGGTAGATCTAAGCCTAATTTATAAACTTGCACACACAAGACTCTATAGATTATGCTACACCCCAAGCCCCAACTCATTCTAAAATCGACGTCTAAAACCAACAACAGTAGATCTAAATTAGACTGTAAAAAGAACAGTGAAATTTAGACTTTTAGAACTACAGTCCAACCTGCCTTAACGGAAACCTGTCTAAACGGAATCTCCCCGCTTCCCCCTTGATATTCCTCTTTAATTACCAGTATAAAACGGAAACCTGTCCAACGTGAAAACGCCAAAAAAAATCCGCTCACCTCCGAGGGTTTCTACCTCTCTCTAAGACGGAAAATGCTTTGCCCGCTCAGCCCTGATTTGAAACAAAACTCAGTTTGGTTCCTCCGGCTCTAAATTTAACGTCATGGCCATGCCGAAGGGCGAGGAAGGGGAGATGGGGTGCAATTTGGGGGTAGATGTTACCCCATCACCATGTGAGCCCTGAGCGATGCAGACGGTCAGGGTAGTGTGGGTGTGAAATCTTTCGACTGCCTGTGAGAGTGCTTGAATAGCTAGCCACTACAAAAACTTTCTTGGCTAGCCAGAAGCCAGAGGTGTGAAATTAGATTGACCAATGCCTGCTGCCCTGATCGTATGGCCAGCCGAGAAAAGAGTTCCTCGAATCGTTGTTACATGATGGATAGTTGACTGTGCTTGTTACAATCGGAGGGTGGGGCTAAGGGTGGAAGCAAAGGAGATGTTCAGACGTTTCTGTTTTTAATAGATCAAATAGTGGTCCTATGAAAGAGAAAGGCAAGCACTGATGGTAGGCCTAATTGGATGTAACACTGATGCATGCATGTCATTATCAGAGAGGAATTGCGAGGTGTGAAGTTTTGACAACTGCTTGACGATCGGACAAGCGATCGTTGATCCCACCGGCTGGGCCTTTGAACCCCCTTTTCCATCTCTCCCTAAATTCCCCTGTCTAAGACTGAATTTATTTCTGGCTCCCTTGCGATTCCGTCTTACACAGGTTCGACTGTAAATCTTGACAGACTAAAAAAGAACAAATTTAGATTCTAGATCTAGATCTAGATCTAGATCTAGATCTATATCTAGATCGAACACATTTGCCATCTGAAGCATTAATTTAGATCTAATAAGTTCTATACATTGTTGTTAGTGGTGCACAGTACCCGCTTCTCATCCCTATTTTTTTTCAGCATACTCACCCGATGCACAAATCGCATCAATCAACACATTCTTCGTAACCATGGCCATGATACTATAGAGGCCTACTATACAAATCCCCTAGATTTCTAGATCTAGATTCTAGGCCTAGATCTAGATATGATTTAGAGATATTGGACGGGGTATATCCTTTTGACCGAGTCGTGCGAGTGTGGGCCTAGCGTCGAAGTTACAGGCCTAGACCAGAAGAGGATCAAAAATCTAACCAGTAGGTTTGGCGTTGGGGCCAGATAACGGGATAGTCTTTCTACTCTTGAATATAATCGATCGTAGTCTAGATCTAGTTGATAAGGTCAGTGACCGTTCGCGTTGGTAAATACGAACCTTTTCCTCATTTTTACATTTTGTGATGGAAAGTTATCAAGACAATTTTTTGCGTATAACAAAAATACGGTGCCAAGGAAACAACAGTACCACACATTGTACTACCTCTTTCAGCAGACGACCACTTTGATTGTTCGACCCTCAACCTCAACCCTCACCTTTGACCTGATTATA